CATGTTATGATAATACATAATAAGTATAATATTCTTGTTATTTAGACCTTGGCTTGGGGAAACTGGAATTATAAACCTATAACTCAAATTTTAGAGATTGCCTCCTGTTACTAGGTGGCTGCCGAAGCTCCAACAATTAAGTCCACTAAAAGAGATGGGCTGCAGGAGGGCAAGGTCTGTTCCAGCTCCTGTGCCACCCAGTCTGAATTCACCCTCTGACTGGGTACACTGTACCCCATTGTTCTTGGGGACATTGTCCTGGGGTCTCTGCTACCCGGCCTGTACTGGTATGGTTGCCCCAGGGCAGCTGTGTTAGTAACTGGCAACTGCCTGGAGTAGACGAGCACATCCCTGGCTGTGCTTATCCTTGTTTCAGGGCCCAGAGAACTGTGCTGAGCCTGGCTTTTGTTGGCCTCATGTCTTTCCCCACTGCCCGCCCCTGCCCAGTGCTCAGAAGTTGGGATTGGTGCACAGTTGTCCTTTGCTTCTCTGTCCTTGGGAGGCCAGGCCCATTCCTCTTTCCCTAGAGCTTGCCTGCCTCTGCAGAGACCTCCTCCTGCAGGTGGCTCGAGCCTGCGCTGTGCCAGACTGATGGGCTGTAGCCTCTTCCTGTCTCCATCACTTGCCTTGTGCAAAGGTGGCCACGGTCTGTACCATGTGTCCAGTACCTTCGCCACCGGCTGTGCGTGCACACTTCAAATGCAGTCAGAGCAGCTGTGGAACTGGACTGTTCATAGGAGTTCACTTCAGTTAGTTTACACTTAGCATCCTGTGCCCGAGCACTGCAGCTGCAGACCAGACCCCAGCGTCTCTGCTCCCACTCAGAGAAATGCACAATTGGTAGTATTCATCTAGATTCATAAAAAGTGGGTCCCTGTGGCCAGGCATGGTGATTCATGCCTGTAATTCCAGCACTCAGGAGGCAGACGCAGAAGGATCCCGAGTTCCATGCCAGCCCAGGCTACATAGTGAGACCTTGTCTCAAATAAACAAAAAGAGTGGGTTCCCCTAAGGGCACTGATACTTTGAAGACCCAGAGAGGGACAGTGACTTGTCTGGATCCCTCTGAAACAGAAATCCATGTAAAGAATGCAGTCAAGCTGGATGCAGTGGCTTGTACCTGTAATCCTAGCTATTCAGGAGATAAGAGACCCAAAAGCTCGCAGTTCAAGGTCAGCCCCAGCAAAAAGTTGGTGAGACTCCATCTCAAGCAATGATGGGGTGTGGTGGTGCACATCTGTCATCCCAGCCACACAGGAAAGCACAAATGGACAGATCGCAGTCCAGGCCGGACATAAAGTGAAACCCTATCAAAAATAACCAGTGCCCGGGGTATTGTGCACACCAGGCAAGCACTTTATCACGGAGCCGTATCCCCAGCTCCCATGGGGCCTGCTTTTTACCATCACCCCTACTTCACAGATAGGCAGCTGAGGCCCAGGGAGGGGGAGAGACCAGGCCGTGATCCCAGGACAACCATCTGGGGTCCGAGTTTCTGGTGCTGTGCCCCGGCTTGCTCTGCTCTGTGAAGGCCCGGCAGCACTGCGTGGTCCCAGCTTCCCGCCCAGCCAGGCAGGTGCACCGAGTAAGGTCACTTGTCACGCAGTTGTTTGTCCAGCCTGGTCTCCTAAGACTTGGATCCTACTGCACCTGGTGTCCTGCCTCCTGGCTCCCACAGGTTGTTTGGAGCCCAGTGGAGGGGCGGGGCCTCCGTGCCAGGTACACCTGTTAGGAAGGTGCACGCGGGATAAATGCCCCCTCTGGGTCTCTGCTCCAGTCTCTGCTTGGTGCAGGGTGTGACCACTGTTCCCTTCCCTCACCTCCTCCCACACAGTTTGCTCTTGGGGTCACCTTGCTTCCTTGGGGCAGCATCCCTGTAGTGGGGAGCAGAGCTGCTGGAGTGAAACCCAAGATGCCAGGGTGAATTTAGGATAAACACAAGCACACCTTGAATATAAGTGTGTCCCATGCACTATCTGGGGCATATTTATGCTAAAACTCACCTGACGCTTATCTGAAGTGCTAGTTTGCATCTGGGGGGTTATTTGTATTGCGAAATCTGGTAGCCGTACATGGCAGCCTGCACACCTCGGGCCCTGAGAAATGGCACAGGCTTGTGCAACGAGGCGGCACGGCACAGATCCGGTTTCTTAGGACCCACTGCCTTCTTCATAGACAATAGACGTAGACTTTTGTAGTTGGGAAGTGTAGCTCAAGTGGTAGGGCACCTGTCTAGCAAGGACAAGGCCCTGAGTTCAAACTCCAGTCCCAACAGAAAAATAAAGGGACTCTCAGGGTGAGTTGAGGAAACCTAGAAGCCACACCCCTAAAAATATCAAGCAAGCCAAAGCAATCTGGCTTCTACCTGCCTGAGAATGTACTATATATAAATGGACATGCATTAGCAGTCACTCACACTTTTTCTTGAAATAGACTCTTGGTGATAGTTGAGTGGGAACAGGGACTGGCAGGATGGGCAATTGGAGTATTGATGCAGGGGAAAAAAATTCCAAAGTCTTGAGTACCTCTGGAGATTGCAAGCCAGAGGAGGAGGTACCTGAGTGGCTGGGGTTAAGATCTTTTATAATCTGACCTTTCCAGTCTTCCTTCTGCTCGACCTAACCTCATACCTGTGTTCTGGCTTTCCAGCCTCCCAACCTTTGCTCATTCTGTCCCCTAGTCCCCTGTTTTGGGGACAGTGCTCCTGTCCCCCACAGCTCTACCTTGCATTTTGCCCCGTGTGTGTGTGTGTGTGTGTGTGTGTGTACTTCTCTTCCCTGGGAGCTTCTGATGTGCAGGCCATTCCTTTCTCCCCTGAACAGCTTGGGCCAGGCTTGGAGCACAGATGTCCACAGATGTTTGCCTGGGACAGAGGCAGGAGAGGGGCCTCAGGGCCAGCCTCCTGCTGTGCAGCTTGACGGAGACTCTCATGGTTCTCAGCTGCACTCAGGTCCATCAATCAGAGGGTCCTGGTGGTCCTGGTGACATATCTTGCAGGTCTTTCTATCCATGTTCATGGTGACCATGAGCCAACCTGAGGACAGGGCCTGGCGCTCACCCAGGCGCCCTGACCCTGCAGCAGCCTCCACATGGGCAGGTGCTGTAAATACTCAGCGGATGGGGTCAGACCATCGTGATGTGCACGCTATACCTGGGATGTATGCGCCACACCTGTGACTGCACCTGAGCCCTGGAGCCCCCACAGCAAGTGAGATGGTGAGAGGCCCTGCTCACTCCACAATCCATTCGGGCTTCTGTTCAGCTCATCTGAAAACACTGGCGCACTGGACAGGAGGTGGGGTCACCCTGCAAGCTCTCTTGAGGCTGTGACACCCGAGGCTGAGACTGACCAGCAGGAAGGAACTGAAGGGCAGGAAGCCACCAGCAGCCTGTGTGGGAGCAAGGCTGACCCTCTCAGGCTGTCTTCTGCTCATTCATTCCATGGCCCATGTCAACACAGGCATAGTGCCAGGAGCTGTGCTCGATACAGGGAGGGCACCATGAACAAAAGCCATCACAGTCCCTGTCCTCCTGGGCCTTATTTGTGATAAACAGATGCACAGGGTGCATCAAGACAGGGACATTAGCCAGGCTCCTGTGGCTCATGCCTGTAATCCTAGCTACTCAGAAGGCAGAGATCAGGAGGATCGCAGTTTTAAGCCAGCCTTGGACAAATAGTTTGGGAGACACTATCTCAAGAAAACCCATCACAAAAAAAGGGCTGGTGGATTGGTTTGAATGGTAAGAGTGCCTATCTAACAAGTGTGAGACCCTGAGTTCAAACCCCAACGCCACCCTCCCTGGAGCTTACGTTACTGTGGGAGAAAGACAGGTCCCTGAAGAGGTAGGGCAGGGTCCTTCAGGGAGTGAGCAGAGGCCTGCATCACAGTGAGGAGGTGGCCACAGGAAGAACCAGCGAGGGCGTTCCCATTTGAGGGCATCTTGGGGACACAGGGCCCTGGTATGGGAAGAGCTTGGCCTCTGCAGAGGAGGGGCCCATACCACTGGAGCGTGAGAGAAGGGGGTGCTTCACAGTGCCTTTAGGTGATGTTTATTTACACTCAGCGTGCTCCCTTGAGAGTGGTCATTGAAGGTGTGTGCAGCCTGGCCCCTGTGCAAGGCCTAATCTCTGTGCAGAGCCTGTCCCTCCTGATGCAAAGCCTCCCCCGACCCTGTGTGCAGCCAGCTGCATGAGGTGGCACTGCCCCTGCCCCCAGCACCCCTGTGTTTGTCATTGCTCAGGCGAGCAGACCCGGAGGTGAGTGGCAGGAGCTCACTTTTCATTGCAGGGTGATGGCACACCTGGGGACCTTCCCAGGGCCTAAGGGGACACCATGTTCTCCTTGTTCATCTCTGGTGACTTACACAGGGCTGAATGGAAGCACCGCTGAGCCCTCTGCCAATGGTGTCGCCCTGCTCTTCTGTAGGACAGTGGAGGGGGGTGTGTTGAGCTGGACTGCTCCGTGTCCAGCTCCTGAGGTCTATGTGCAGTGCAGAATGTGAGAACGTTCTGTAGCACTGGGTCCCAAGTGTGAGCCTGGTGTTCAGCCCGTGGAGTCAGCCAGGCCTTGTTCAAATCTGCTACCTACGAACCTGAGCTCTCGGAGTGCCTTAATCTCTCCAAGCCGCAACACCCTGGTCTGTACTGTGGGGGTCATGGCTGTGCCTGCCTCAGGTCTGAAGGGGGTCAGTTCATCACTCAGAGCTTGACTGGGCAGGCTGTGGCTTGTTGTAATGTCAGTTCACAAGGGCATGGCCACTGGTGGACACTCACAGGTCTGTGATGGCAGCGGTGATACCCTAAGGAGTGTGGCAGGCTGGGGGTCTGGTAGGTAGCATGCAGAGTCAGGCCAGACCCTTTGGAATGAAATAGTGGCCTGGGGGATGGGGTTCTTCCCATACGCATATAAGAAAGCCCTGAATGCGGAGCGGACGGGAAAAACCCTTCGAGCTGCCCCCAGCCCACATCCAGTCCTCTGACCCTGTGTTCTTGTCCCCTAGTGCTCCTGCGGGAGGAAGTGGCCCGGCTCCAGGAGGAAGTGCACCTTCTCCGACAGATGAAGGAGATGCTGGCCAAGGACCTGGAGGAGTCTCAGGGCGGGAAGTGCTCCGAGGTCCTTTCAGCCACCGAGCTCCGGGTCCAGCTGGTGCAGAAGGAACAGGAGCTGGCCAGAGCCAAAGAGGCCTTACAGGGTGAGTGACGAGTCACAGAGCTCTACCTGGGCTTGGACGCCCCAGCCCTTCTTCGGACGGAAAACTGTGTTTCTCAGGGTTGGTGTAGATTTCGCTCCCTCCTCCAGGGTGACCACCATGCGTTGTCTCCTTGGCTGAACGCGGGCATCTCCCTCTGAGACGTTAATTGCATTTCGGATGGACATCTTTGTTGACCCACAGCTGAGTCTCTTACCCAGCATTCTCAGAGGCCTTGTGCCTCTCTTCCTGGGTCTGTGGACATGCTGTGTCTCTGATGGAGGAGCACCTGTGTACCTGGCTTGCCCTGGGAAGAGCTTGGGCCTCACATCACTTGGTCCAGTGCAGTTTTGTTCTGGAAAGTGCAGCATCTTCTCCAGCCCTGGGGGGGAGGAGGTGGAAGACATAGGGTGAAGGTGTCCAGGTAGTCTTTTGACAAGATGGACCTTGGACTGATAGCCATCACAGGGCTAGAAATTGCTTTTAAGAAAGGAGGAAGCTGTCGGACCATGTGTTCAGCCTGGTTTACTTGGAGCTGGCTGGAAACCTAGCAGCTCTCATGTCCTTCTCTCCTGGGGTTCAGGGAAGGTCTCTGAAGGTTACTTGGGGAAGGTTGTAAGCACAGTACCTAGAAAGCTCAGACCTGAAACAAGTGGGGACAAAACAGCCTTGGGGTCTGCATTTGTTCTGTGGAGTCCATTAGCATTTGTTTTGGTCCTGAAAAAAAGAGAGAAAGCCATGAAACCTTGCAACCTGCTCTTCACTTACCATTTACGAGAACAACAAATACTCTACAAGTTCCATTTATCAAGCCAAAGCAAGCTAATTAGTTAGGAACCGAGAGATGCCCAAACTGGCTAAGAGTCTGTTTCTCCTTTAACCATCCATCAGTGAGCATCTCAGGCTGGAGAGTGTCTGGCTTCTTGGTCCATGCAAGCCCCAGGGGAAAGGCCACGGTCAAGGCCAAAGGCTGCCCTTGGCAAGAGCTTGGCCACATGGCCATGCCTTGCAGCCAGGGGCTGGGGAATGGAGTTTCTGGCTGAGTGGCCGTGGCCCAGCTCCACTTCTAACCTGGTGAAGGGGAATGGATTTTACTGGGCAGTGTGTCAACTCTGTCAAAGCAGGTGTCCCTGACCAGAGGTGGGATGTGTACAACTGGCTAAACAGACTGGTGGTGGTGCCCAACTGACTATCCTCCCCAGGAGACTGGGAAGCAGCTGAGGTTGAGCCTGTCCCCCAGGATTCAGTACCTTCACTAAGAATTCTTTCCATCCAAAGGCAGTGGGCCACCTCTTTGGTTGGGATCTTTTTTCCAGTGTGGTCACTGAGTAGGTGTGGGAAGCCAGTGCCGCATCCTTGAGAAGTCACTTTGCCCATGTGCGTGCAGCCAGCCAGCAGTCCAGACAGACCTGTGGGGCTACCCTTCTCTGGGCTTCTGGGGCCTCATAATGTCCCCTGCCACCCCACATCCCAGAGTCTCCAGTGATAGCTGCTGGTGGGCCAGGACTGTGCCATCTGCTGCCATTGGTCTTGCTGAACCTGGTACTGCTGTGGAAAGTCAGTTTTTGGCAGCCAAACACTGCCTTAGCCACCCTTCCCAGAAACAGAAACCCAGGGACAGAGAAATCTGCCTTCTGTGTCCTGGGCCAGGGTCTCCTGCACCAAGAAATTGGATGGTCCTAGACCAGAGCCATGTGCACAGCAGTCAACCCAGGGTCATTTATGCCCCAACTCCTGGGACATAGATTCCACTTCTCCAAACCTCAGTGTCTGTCTGAGTGATAGGAGAGTAATGGTGGATTCCTACTCACTGAGGCCATATCTCTAATGGTGAGGGCCCAGCTCCTGCCATTGTGGTGATGCGCATTTTCCCTGCAGCCCCCGAGGCACAGAGTTGTACATCAGACCCCCTTATGTGCCAGGGATGCAATCTAGAACATTCCGTGGATTCCTGAAACCACGCACAGAACCAAACCCTATGTACACTACAAGTTTTCCTGCACACACATACTGAAGATATAAATTGACATAAGTTAGGCACAGTAAAAGAGTGACAATAACTACCAATAAACCAGAATAATTATAACAATACACTGTATTGCAGGTTATTAAGACTTGAGAACTGTTTTATTTCTAGTATTTTTGGAGTAATATTTTCAGACCATGGCTGACCATGAGTAACTGAAACTGCAGAATAAGAAACTGTGGATGAGGCGGGTTTACTGTTCAGGTGTTTCTTTCCAACTCTGAGCCGTCAGTTCCTATCCATCACCAGAGGGCCTCATCTTAGCCTGGGATCCGTCCAGTCATGTGACTCCTCTGTAAGAATAATAGTGTGAGCGAGCAACAAGGACAGATTGGCACTAGCACTGATCTACCTTCACCCCAACCCGCTGGGTGCTATCAGCCCCCAACACGCCCCGACCCCCGTCACAGATGAGTGCACCTGAATGAGGCTCAGGGAAGTTGAGTAACTAGAGCAAAGTTGCAGAGCTAATTCGTAGCAGAGGCAGTGACACTCCAACTGCCCAGCACACTCCTGCTTCCTGGGGGTGGTCCCTGGGAATGAAGTCAACCTGGATGCAGGAGACAGGCGCCATCTCAGCTCAATGATGGGATGGCAGGCTCCAGAGTCAGACTTCAACTTGAACTCCAGGTCTACCACTTACTAACTGTGTAACCTTGGATAAATTCCTCAGCTTCTCTGAACCATACATAGTTCCTTTGCTTATGATAATTGTAATACCTGCACTTCTCATAATTGGGGCTAATGAGAGTAGCTTGTGAGGATTAAGTGAGATATAAAAGTGCTTGGCTCAGTGTCTGATCCATAAGTGCAAATATATGGTGATGACCCAGGAGGAGGGGGCTTGGCAGACCTCAGATCTGCTTGGAGATGTCAGTTGCCTGGCTTCCAGGCCCCCCAAGGTCAAAGTGGCAGTGTCCCCAAAAGGCAGGGAGGTGGATACCCCTGGCCACCCCAAGCATCCTTCTTGGATTTCTACACAATCATAAATAAGATACTTCCTTTCCAGCCACAGCACAGTGTGTAAATTGCAGCCAGATGTGGGCAGAGCAGGCTGGGGCGCGGCAAGGGATTTCTGTGCCATAAGAGGAGAGTGAGAGAAACACACAGCAAAGCGAGCAGCGGATGCCGGCCACGCCGTTAGCAACCCGTATGTTTTGGATGAGACCTGAGTTCTCCAGCATGTGAGAGGACCCAGAACAGCAATTCTTGGTGCTGACAGCAAGGCAGGGAAGAGGATGGAGTTTGGGGACCTGGAGGCTTAGAAGGTCCCTTGTTTCCTGGGGGTCAGGGTTTGAGAGTCTGGTTGCTCTGTGAAATTAAGGGCAGCGCCCCCCCACAAGTGAGTCAGAAGAATGGCGTTGGTGTAGGTGTGGATTCACCCCTGATCCCTGCATGTCCCCCCTGCACACGCACACGCACACACACGTGTGGGGAACCGGAGCTCATGGGACCCCGTGGGTGTCTGCGGATTTCCTAGGGCTCCTCAGTGTCGTGCCTTCCCTGCAAATCAAGGCAGCGCAGAAGCAACAGTAATGAAAATTGGCTTCTTTCAGTTTTTAATCTCTTTCCAGCATGTTGAGCACTTTCCCACAATAAAAACTCTGAAACCATAATTTTTAATGACTGCATAATGTTCTACCAAATGGAGGCACCATAATTTATTTAGCCATTTTCCTATTATTGGACATTTAAGTAGTTTCCACTTCTCTCTCTCTCTCTCTCTCTCTCTCTCTCAATCTCTCTCTCTTTCTCCCTCCCTTCCCTCCCCCCGCATTATTATTTGACAGGACAGCAAAGATCCACATCTGTAAGTCTAATCTGTTCATTTTCTTAAGACCACATTTCTCAAACTTTTTGGTCTGAGGACCACTTTACATGCTTGCAGAACTGTTAGCTTTTACTTCTATGGTGTAAATCTATTGCTGTTTATCATTCTGTAAAGAAAAATGGAGAAAAGGTCTGAGTTTCACCAACTTGTTTTAAAATAATGCTAATAAACCCATTATATGTTAGCGTAACTAAAATTAACTTTCAATGAAAAGTAACTGCATTGTCCCACACAAAAGTGTTTGGGTGACAAGCAGTGTGACTGAGTACTCCACAGACCTCCTGGCTGCCTGGCTTCAGAGCAGGCAGCTGCATCGGCTCCCTGTCCCTTCAGTTCATTGTGGTTTGATGTTTGGGGTGAAAATCTGGCATCACACAGATATGTATTTGGAAAATAGAGGAGTGTATTAATTGCCCAATTATATACTCATGGCCATTCTTTGATGTCTTTTAAAACTCACTGGTGGGGGTAGCGTCTTAAAGGTTGGTTGCAATGGGGAATCCATGGCCTTTTCCAGTGCAGTCTTTTAGGGGTTCCCTGAGTTGTCCAGATAATGTTGACATATTTCATTAGCCAGTACAGTATCAAGAAGAGTCCTGTGTATTAACATCACCGCTAGTCTCATCAGAAGTCCGTAACTGTTGAGAAGCTGTTAAAGTCACGGTGATAAGATAAGGTTAGCAGAATTCTGATTTTTTGCTCAAATGGCTGAGTTTATCATCGACAACAAATATCGTCAGTTGTTGCTCAAGAGGTCACAGGTCCTCTCAGTTTACTTGTGAGCCTGCCTTTGTTCTTTTGCCAGATAACAAGATCTGTAGGCAAGTAGTTTTTTCATGCACGTGTGGTGTTCTGTGGACAGTGGCTAGTTTAGCTTGCAACTCACACACACATTGTATTCCAGAACGTCTGAGCCAGACATTCTATTTTGGTGTGCAGAAAAAGACCCATAAATTACATCCCATTTGAGTTTTTGAAAGACGTACTTGGGGAGGTCAAGTTTATCAGTCCTTGTTTTCACTCTTCATCAAAGGCGTCCTTAGATTGTTATCCTTTTCTTTTGGTTACAGGGCTGGGGATTGAACCCAGGCCCTCACCCATGCAAAGCATGTCCTCAACCACTGAGCTGCATCCTCGGCCCCATCA